TGTTTCCTACGCAAACTTGTCCGAAATTTGGACGACTCGACCAACGCACAACGAAACGAACGAAAACTACAAAACGCAACGACAACAATAACAACCAAAGAAACGCAATGACAACACCGAACCAAACATCAAACATATCCGACTTGCGGGAAGCATATCTGTAGCGAGACATAGTATCTTAACATCGCGATTAAAATAAACGATATCTCGCTACAGCGCCATCTGTTAGGGCGCAGCAGAAACGGCGCCAACAATAAGAAAACATAAGATTAGTGTTTATGAGAAAAGAAGTGTTCAAAACAGTTTGAAGATTCATACACTTTTGGAATATACTGACTTAAAAAATGAACTATTATTTCATTACAATTTATAGTTAAAAAAACTTTCTGGGCCCTAAAGTGGCGCTATTATGCATAATGCACACACAATACAAGATGTGTTTCACTCTAGCTCGCCGAACCAGACAAGTTCTAGAGAGTAACAACAGAACTTCAAAATTATTCAATCTACTTCATTTATTTTGTTTTACTTCATCTAAAAATAATATGACTATCAACAGACAACAGACAGTTACTTTTTGTTATTTACTGTAACAACTAATTCCGTTCTGACTATGTGTCGCTCGCACTCCGTCCGCGGTTAAATGAAAAAAATACTTAAGTAGTAGCCTATGTGTTCTTCCAGGCTATGTTCTACATCTATGCCAAATTTACCTTCCAACAGATATCATCGAAACAGTCGAATTTATAATATTAGTAAGATTTGTTTTAAAGATAGTGCGTAAAACAAGAGTGAATATTAACGAGACTCTACATTTTATTATTGTTAGCTATTGGTAATTAGTCAATTACAAATTAGAATTTATCCATTTTCCACCAAATTAAATGAACAAAACTAAGTGCCCGCATATGATGGTATACTTGAGACAAAGATCACAAACGTTAGTTTTTAAAGTGCAAAATAGATATATATGTCGGAGAGTATTAATTTATGACTTTAATTATTTTGCTCGAATGACAACATTGCTTGTAAGGTGCATGATTGACGTCTGTCAGTGTCACTGTAACGCATTGTGGTGAGACTGAAAGCCATAGCGCTTTGTTCTTGTGTTCTGCTGAAAGCTGTTACGCTTTGCAGAGTTGTTGGACTCAAAGCTATATCGCTTTGTCCTGTTGTTCCGCTGAAAGCCGTTACGCTTTGCTGTGTAGTTAGCCTGAAAGCCGTGGCGCTTAGTCCTGAGGTTTTGTTCAAAGCTGCTACGCTTTGTTGTATGGTTGGATTGAAAGCCAAAGCGCTTTTTCCTGGTGTTCTGTTGAAAGCTGTTAGGCTTTGCAGTGTGGTTATCTTGAAAGCCCTAGTGTTTTGTCCTGATGTTCTTCCGAAAGTTGCTGTGATTTACAGTGAGTTTAGTCTGAAAGCCTTAACGCTTTGTCCTGGTGATACTGCTGTGAATTATTACGTTTTATGAAATAGTGATCTGAAAGCCTTAACGCTTTGTCTTAGCTAGATCTGTTGTACGTCGAGTGCTTTGGAATGCAATAGAGCCGAGGTTTTCTGAATTGACTACGAAATTACTAGAGATGTAAAATGCTGAAAGTCTTTGCGCTTTGCTTGTTGAGGTCGAAAGCTATTTGAATACGGTTTGCTTGTGTGCGTGATACACACTGTGCCATGAGGCCGATGGACTTATGTAAAGCCGAGATGCAACGTGAGAGCGCGTTGATTGGTCAGAATGGCCGTATCGGAGAATATCAATTTATGACTTTAATTATTTGGCTTGAATGGCAACATTGCTTGTAAGGTGCACGATTGAAGTCTGTCAGTATCACTGTATCTGTAAGTAGTGCGAGTGGTCGTTTGAGAAGTGATAGACTTGGTGTAGAGGCTGCGCCCGCGCCGGTGTTCGCACTCACTGAATAAAGCAGTATCGGATTGTGATATCAACCATTTAAATAACGAACCGCTCGTAAATCTCCGACATATATAATTATATACGTATATACATTTGTCTCAAGAGTGTCTCTAGCCGAATTGGGAAAATCATTTCGCATATATATTATAAAATAAAATATTCTCCTAAAAGTATTTTGTAGGAGTTGTGATAATGTTTAAAGGAAAATAGTAACATTAAAACTGAAACGTAAAATACATTTTGAATTTAAAAGCAGTTTTTTTTAAATTTTGAAAAGATACAAAATATATTACTTATATATTTAATAATACAACAACCATTACTCATTCAATAACACCGATGACACAAAAGCAACGAGAAAGATACTCATAGGCCTGAATTAGTTCCATGACATCCTCGCAGCGCCGGACTCCACTGCATCTGAAAATAATACCACTACTGTAAAATTGACACATAAAGATATATACAACTCGTATATCTTTATGTCTAAAATGTATATTTAAATTGTTCGGTTAATAGTGGTTAAACGATCCATTTTTCCGAAAATGTTTTATAAAAATATTCGTTTTAAATATGAAATATATTTTTTTAAAGACAAAAACCCATTTATTATTTATATTATAAATTAGATAAATCAAATTGGAGTATCTGTATATATATATTATCAAAATAAAATATTTATAGTTCACGTAAATGTTGTATATTATATAGGAATTAGAACAAAAAAAATCTTAAAAAAGATTTAAGTGAATCCGAATAATTGTAAAACGGCTGAACCAATATTGACTAAATTTTTAATGGAAACTGGCTAATTGTATGCGAGAGTAACATAGGCTTATTTAATTATAATTATTCAAGTACGAAATATTGACGCGTCATTTTATTGGTGTCCGCGCGGTCTCGGCTGACTCTCCGCCGCGGAGACTGATGCGTGGCCGCCGCGGGATCGGCCAAGCATGAAGGGGCAAATGGTATTTCTCGCAGAGCAAGAGCTACTTGTAAAATAATTTGAAAACTTTTAAAGTGTAATCAAGAATCAAGTTAATATTTTCAGTAAGAAACGAATTAATACAAAAATTGGTCGATGGTGTAGGTAAGCGTCCGTTGTTATTTGCCTAGGCAAATTGTACAGTCAGTAACTTGCAAGGGTAGAATAGTAGGATATTGCAGTACTGTTATTTGAATGCATACGCCGAAAACTGAAGTACTGTTTTGGCAGTAAGTTCGCTTTGAAACGAAAGCAATACCAAATTGTCGTACTACTCTATGTCACGATCAATGCAGGTACACAATCCCGGGAATTTTAAAAGCAAATGGCGACTAAATAATATCACAATGCAAAAAATCACCGGCATTTACTTCAGCCTAAGTAATTAAAGAGCGTCGGTGGCTAAGGGGTCAAGAACTTGATACTTGACATAATGTTAACACGAATTAACCTTTAGAGTGCTAGCCGTCTGTTTAAGGCAGGTGTATCTACACTACAACGTATGACAAGTTCCCATTGCCCGGCAACGTAACTTGCATTGAATGCAACCTCTTACCGCGGCACATTTGCGAAGGAAGAAACGTTACAAAATTTATTTCAACGAAGACAAAGTCGCGGAAAAAAACTAGTTGTAAAATAAATTGACTCGTGATATTAAATATACTGCATTGTCATACAGTCCGCCATTTTGTGAAACTAGCACTGGAGCTTGAGCTCATGAGCTACTAACACCCCCCCCCCCGCACCCATAGCTGCACCAACGCCGACCCTCTACTGCCGACACAAAAGTGCATAATACTACGCATGCGCCAAATACCAATCAATGCAGCTTCGCAGTCCCGGGGATTGGAAAAGCAAATGGCGGCTAAGCAATATCATATCATATCACGGGAATCAATTTTTAAAAAGATTAAATTATATTTTGACCATTACAAAAAGTATTGACTTATAAAAAGGATACGCTTACATAGAATGCAGTGTAGAACAATCACTTTGAACAGATATTCATTGATTCCTTGCTTGATAATTACGACACTAGCTCGCTGCCCGACGACGCAATTAGCACTGATTGCCACACCCGACTTCTACACATGCGCCACAGCATCCTAACCCTACCCCTCCCGTATCCGTTTCAGCGTCCCGGCCAGAGCAAGTCAGCTATTCCGCATGCGCATAGCGATCCAGACAGAGCTCCCAGCGTAGTCCCCCCACTACCTTTATCTAGGCGTGGCAGCTGCCTAGACAGGCACAACTATTGATTTGATTTCTGCGCCGTCCACATCTACTGCGCATCTGTCAGATACCAAACAATGCAGCTACGCAGTTCCGGGGATTGGAAAAACAAATGGCGTCTAAACAATATCACATCATATCTCCCCCCACCCCCTCCCCCACCATCTTTCCTTGGTGTCTATGAAGCATTAGGCGTGACACGCGAATCAATTTTAAAAGAGAATATAATATATTTAAACTATTAAAAAAAATCACAGAACGACATATTGAAAGAATGTATACTTTTTACAATGTCGCAGAATCACTTTGAGTTGGTTTCATTTCAATCAATTCATTTATTCCTTGCTCGATAATTACGACACAAGCTCGCTGCCCGACGGCGCAACTAGCACTAATTGTACCATCCGACCGATGCACTTGCGCCACAGCATCCCACCCCGCACTACTTCTCCCTAACCCCCTCTTTCGCCACCCTACCCCTCCCGTATTCCTCTTAGTGTTCCGCCAAAGCTCTAAGCGTACTCCCCCCACTCTACTTATCTAGGTGTGGCAGCGTCTATTTTCAAATATCGATTTGACGGCCCGTCCCCCTCATCCCTCGCCGCCCGCAAATAGTTTGCAATACCGCGCATGCGTCAGATACTAATCAATGTAGCTACGCAGTCCCGGGGATTACAAAAGCAAATGGCGACTAAATTAAACAATATCATATCCCTAAAATCAATTTTAAAGAGGATGAAATATATTTTAATCATTAAAAAATATTATCAGAACTACATATAAAAAGAACAGACTTACATAATATGCAGTGCCGCACAATAACTACGAGCAGGTATTCATTTATTTCTTGCTTGATAATTACGACACAAGATCACTGCCCGACGATGCCACTAGCACTGATTGCCACACCAGACCGCTCAAGATGTGCCACAGCATTCCCCC